TGCCGCTCCTGGAGCAGCCCCTTCTGAGCCAAAGGCAGTTATTTCTCTGCTTAATGGCTGCCCGTGGCCCTCCCCACGGTGCTAGGACTTCCTTGGAACAAATATCTCTCCGGTGACAGGGCCCACAAACCTCAGTCCCTCCCCCCAGGCCAACTCACTCTCTTTCTCTACTTCCTGCATGCCAGTCTCTTTCCAGATTGGTTCACTAGAATGAGTGTTAGCAGGAAGAGCTCTAACATCTATTTTACCCCTACTGTGCACCAGGCACTGTGCTAGTGTTTGGTTCGATCCTCCCAAACACCTGTGTGAAACTGTCATTCTCTTGATTTCACAGAAGGGAAGCAGACTCTGAAAGGGCAAGTCACATGCCTCAGGTCACACAGCTAGAAAAAGGTGGACTGGACGGAAGCCTGGAACTATGAGGTGGTGCTTCCCGGGCAGAAACATAATCATGGCTGTAGCCAGGATCACTACTTCCTGTGCGTGCATTTTACGTCCTGGTGGACACGCAGGTGCCCTTCAGCCTCCCTGGTTGAATAGATAGGGATATACATGCACACATATTCTTCAATGAATGTGAGGGGAGAGAGCAGATGGATGCATTGGATCATCCATCCTCCTTGAAGGTTTTGGACTTTGGCAAATGTGCCCTGAGGAATCCTGTAAACTCACATGCAGTGTTCACCTCATGGTCAATGGTGTTGAGCAGAAGGGCAAGGTTTGTTTGCTTCTTGCACACCTAATGTCAGGCTTTGGGGGAAAACCAGAGACCTGAGCCCGAGCAGGCCGGCTGGCTCAACTCCAACAGCAAAAAGGGGCCCTGTTAGAAGTACCTCTTCCTTGACTGTCAGGGAGGTAGGACCCCCACGAGCGATAGAAGAGGACAGGGGTCACAAACCCAGATGTCCATGGGAGCCTGGCAGGTGGCATAACTAAGATGAGGCCAGAAGGAAAAGCACATGCCTATTGGGTGAGTGGTGGCAAGTGGGGTGACTTGAGAAGGGCAATGCTCCAGCCACAGGTGCCAGATGATCTGTGTTAGGCAGAGACTTTGGGTCCATGGGCCAGCTTCTCTGATTTTTTCAAGAGAAGCTAAAATCCAGATCTATATGGGAAATCTCCTAATATTTAATTCAAGTACAATATTGTTATAAAACATTGTGTTGGTCCAAGACAACGGGGCTATGAACTGGATGTGTCCCCAGGGGACACCAGTGAGAGCATCCGAGGTTCAGTGTTTCATTTAATCTTGGAGACCTTTGTCCTAGGCTCTCTGGAAAACAGGCAGCCAGTCTTCTCTCACGTGGGATTATCAGTCAGCACCTATCCGTGACTACATCGATGGGGCGATGGGGGAGAGCTTCGGTCCCCCCACTACTTCTATTAGCAATGAAATGTCATTGAAGTTAACGTGACATCGTAAGTGAAAACGGCTTGCTGTGCAAACTCAGCTTCAAAACAGGTCCCTTCTCCCCTTTGCTACACAACGCGGCTCCTATGTCAGCTCTATCACCTCCACAGTGGGGCTGGCATTGTCAGGGGTGCCAGGGATCTGCTCTTACCTGTGGCTTTTGGTAGGATACAGACCTGGCTGTTTGTTAACAAGCCCTAACTAACGATGGTGTGAACACGATAGTCTCTCTCACTCACATAACAGTTGATGTGCAGGCAGTCCTGGCTGGTAAAGTTCTGACCCACGAGGCTGTCAAGAGCCCCAGGTCCTTCTGGCTTGTTGCTCTGCTGTCCCCATGCTGACAACATGGTTGGTGGCGGCTCACCATCGCAATCTATAGTAACTCGGGCAGGCGTGCCCCTTCCCTCTAAGGACACAACCAGGCAGTTACATACATCCCTTCTGCTCACATCCTATGGGTCATCACTTGTTTTCATAACCACAGCTGCAAGGAAGGCTGGGAAACGTAGCCTTTTTGTGAGTCCACGTAAAACTCTTTGGAAAATTTCTGTGGAAGAAGGAGAGAACATATGGGAAGGGGACCAGTGGAGGTCTCACTCACACTCTCCATGAAAGCTGCATTCATGATACAAGTCCCCATGGGAGGAAGCCCCCTTGAGCACTAGGCCCCGGTATGATGTCCCCCAGGGCACAGGCAGCTGTCTGATCAGGGAGGAGTCCTGGGCAGTGAGCAGCAGCCATGGCTGGAATTTGGAGGTTGGGATGGAAAAGAAGCCTCAGGAAGTGTCCAGCAGCCAGGCCACCAGCTGCTGCGTTTCTGGTTTACAGAACAGGTGTGTGGAGCCCCTGCTCCTTGGACACAAGCCAAGTGTTTGTAAAAGTCCCTTGGAAGATTCACTGGAAATGTTCGCCTGCAGACTTCCTGTGCTGACTGACAGCAGAAGTATGGTGTGGTGAGCCAGCACGGCCATGACATACTCAGCCCCAGGGCGCCTTATGTGCCGAGCCAGCTCAGCCAGGTTCAGTGAGCCTGAGAGGGGGCGGTGAAGGATGGAGAAAAGACAGACAAGAGAATAAAAACTGGGTCTGGGTGGGATGCTGTCCTCTCTGATGGAGCGTTAGTGACAGCGCCACGGATTACAAGCCGTGTCTTTATTTTATAGCCAGATTCCACGAGGCAAAGTAAGGGTGTGGTCAAGATGTTTACAGCATTCTCATGGGTTTCGATCCTATTCAATTACATGCACCTGAACTCTATCAAGCCCACATCACTCAGGCACGTGGGGCCACGTGTTCGGACCATAGGTTCAAGCTTACAACTATAACTCTTGGCTATAATTGTGCTGGGAGGGCTTTGCCCTCCAGGCTGGGACTTGCACGTGGCCATGAGAGGACTGTGCCCTCTCATTCGTCCGAGGCTTGAACCTGTCCAAACACTGTAGCCGCTCTCTACAGTATAGGGCAGTGATAGCGAACCTTTTGAGCTCGGCATGTCAGCATTTTGAAAAACCCTAACTTAACTCTGGTGCCGTGTCACATATAGACATTTTTTTATATTTGCAACCATAGTAAAACAAAGGTTTATATTTTTGATATTTATTATATATATTTAAATGCCATTTAACAAAGAAAAATCAACCAAAAAAATGAGTTCACGTGTCACCTCTGACACGCGTGTCATAGGTTCGCCATCACTGGTATAAGGGCAACGTGTGGTGTGGTGGGGGAAAGGAGCAAAGCCAGGGATCATTGTGAAAATAAAACTATCCCAAATCCTCATATCCGAAACGCCCCCTAGGGGGCAGTACTATCCTTATTGAGAACCACTGGCTTAGCCTGATCTTGGGGGGAAGGAACACTGGGAAGCCCAGGACAATGCCCAGGACACCAACCCTGGGGGGGCCCTTACTATGCACTGGAATGCCTGGCTGACTGAGACGGCCTGGGCCTGTCCCCTGATTGCTAGCCAGACACCAAACAGGTCATTACCCTCATGTTATTACAATTGCGACGGTGCGAAGAAGGAAAAGGGCTGCTGTGCCGTGGTTTGCCATAGGGAGCAGCCTAGACCAGGAGGTCAGAGACGGCTTCCTGAGGGCGTGATGTTTAAGCTGAGGCTTAAGGGATGAATGAGGGTGGCCCTGTAAAGAGAAGGGAGAAGTTGCATGGTGATAGATACTAGATTTATCATGGTTAGCACATCATAAGGTATATAAGTGTTGAATTACTATGTTGTACACCTGAAACTACTATCATATTGCATGCCAACTATGTTTTAAGAAAATAATTAGGGCTCACGGGGGCCGGGAGGCTGGGAGCCTGAGGAAGTTTTCTGCTGTATAAATAGGAAGTAAACAGAGTGAGGATGGCGGTGGGGTTGTTCTGGGTTTGTGTAAGAAAAGGGAAATAGGAGAGAGGGAGACTGAAGACGCTGGAAATACAGTGTAATTGCCAAGCAGCAGTGAGGGCCCACCGGAGCCAGGGCTCACGACTATCAAGCGACAGGGGTGGAGCGGGCAGAGGGGAATTCCACCAGGTTATGATTTGGCCACATGAAAATTCTGGATCCTCAAAATAAGAGGAGAAAGGGCTCTGCGGCTTTGTGCAGCGGAATGAGAACTAGTTACTGAATTTAGGCTGAGAAAGGAGCTCGGTGAGGACCTGGGAGGCGGGAGGGGTATAAGCGTACAGAGGTGAGCAGCCAGGGCCCCTGTGGTCAAGTTCATCAGCTGGAAAGGAACCAGATATAATGCGGGAAAGCGTGCTAAGGACTGTCACCCACGGCTCACGCTACAATCCATTTCCCCCACGGTGGGGGCCAGGGAGCCTGGAGATTGCTGGGGTGTGTGTCTGTGACGCCAGTGGACCCTTGTACTCCAGGGACGCAATGTAATTGGACGCAGACCCCTGCCCCAGAGATGAGCGACACCCGACTGCCCTGAAGAAGGAGCAGAGGCGGGTTCGAGGGCTCCGGCCTCGGAGTCTGAGCCGCGGGGCTCCCAGCAGCCGAACCGACTGCCTGGGCTCCGAGCGCGGGAATGGGGCTGGCGGGGCCGATGCGCGGCACGGAGGCTGGGGGTCCCGGCGCAGAGCGCGCTCCGTTGCTCGCACACTCCACGCGCTGCTTCAGCAGTTGTGCCAAGTTGCAGTTCCCCGCAGACACACTTTTGTCCCCGAGGCTGGGTCTCCCGGTCCTCCCGCGCCTTCGCTCATCTCTCCGGCGCCGCCATTCGCCCAGCGCACTCGGCTTGCCGGCCGCCGGAGCGCAGCACGTGCGCGGCAGCGGACAAGTCGCACAGAGGCGCACGGGGTTCTGGAGCCTGGCTGGGCGGGGAGTCCCGGTCGCTGAGAGCTCCCGCGAGCCAGGCCAGCTTGTGCGTCCGCCTGCTGCCCCGCGGAGCTGTGCTTCCCGCGTCAGTGGCGCTGTCATTCCGGACGCGAGGCGGGGACTCCCACGAGCGCGCGCCTGCCCTCTGTCCCGCCTCGCCCGCCCGCCGTGGAGAAGGTCCGCCCAGCCAGTGTCCGGTGTCCTCCCCGAGCCCTCTCCCAGGCGGTTGGGACTTCTCCGGTGAGGTGCGGCGAAGGCACAGCTCCCCTTCGGTGGGTGTCTGGGCTTGGTGAGCCCGCTTCCCCTCCCGCCCGCGCGCCTCTGCGCTCCCCCCGGCGCCAGAAACCATGCTGTGCTGCCTGCTGGTGAGGGCCAGCAACCTCCCTAGTGTGAAGAAGGACCGCAGCGACCCGGTCGCCAGCTTGACTTTCCGAGGTGAGAGCCCCTTGGCCACCGCGCCCACGCGCCCGCGCCACCCGCCTCTCCGCACGCTCCGCATGGTTTGCAGCCCCGGCTCCAGCACTAACCCTAGTCCAAGCCACAGTTTTCTTCCTCTGTCAGCAGGGACAGGCATCTCAGCCCTGTCTTCCGCAGGAGGCGAGGATGAAACACAGCACATTGCCACTGTGCTCTGAGATCTGGGAAAAGTGCGTGTGCTGTAATATGTCAACAGTTACCACTTAAAAAATGTTTTCATTGCTTTTTTTAGAGAGAGAGAGAGATAGAGAGAAACATTGATGTGAGAGAGACACATTAATTGGTTGCCTCTCACACGCACCTCAACTGGGGCCAGGAATCAAACCTGCAACCCAGGTACGTGCCCTTGACCGGGAATCAAACCTGCGACCCTTAGATGCTCGGGGCCGGCGCTCTAACCACTGAGAAACACCAGCCAGGGCTGTGGTTACAACTACCCGATACCCAGAGGGAATAAAGTGCAAGCTCTTATCTGTGCATGTAGACTGGTGTGCTTTGAATCTTTATTTCATTCATTCATTGGCCTATCTTTATTGAATCCACCAGGTCTCATTTGGGAGTAAGGAGCATAATAGGTTAGATATGGCCTTGATACAAGGATTTTGAGGGTTGTCAAGGATTTTTTTTTTTAATTCAAAGAGCCTAAGTACCTACATGTGGTGCTTAGATAAGAGTACCCCCACCCCCTCTGTGTTTGGAGCAACAAAGGACTTACAACCCCAGTCTTACCAGGCAGCTTTAACCCCCTACTTTAAGGCAATCATTCCCATGGGTGGAGGTGTCTTAGGAGGGGAAAGGGAAGAGGAAGGATCTGTCAAAATTAAGAGAAGGAACAATGGCTGTGAGTCAGGACCCCAGTTCTGTAAAGAAAGATAAATAAGGAGAGGAGAGTTTTCCACTTACCAGGATGCATATCCTGTGGTTTTGTGGAATTAAAAAAATATATGTATCACAAAAGATGGTCAGCTCTATAGGAAGAAATGGCTGGTGTTTTCACGAGGCTTGAAAACAATGGGGGCACTTTCAGCTCTGCCCCATGATCTCCATTTGCCCCCCAAGCACCCACAAATACTAATAACCATAGATTGGCCAAGAAGGAACTATGTGCAGCTTTAATTATTTGTTATGGGATAATTTACATTGTATTTCTCTTTTGAGAAGTGTGAGTTGAAACATTTTAGAAAACTGCTATTTTCATTAATTGGTGACATCCCTGGGTGCCCACTATGAAATGCAACTTCAGGACAAGGTTCCTAGCTCTCTCTTGTCCATCAGACTTAGCCTAAGCCATTCCTGAGCAGAAATTATGAGGCCACCACTGGCTGGAAAAGAAGTTCCCAAAGGTCCCTGAGCTAAGGGCCCACATCAGCCTAGTTCTCTCAGATGCTTTGGAACTCTTTTGGGTCTGCTCACAGCTCTCTTTCCTTGGTTCTTCTTCTTTTTTTTTTTTTTAAATATATTTTTATTGATTTCAGAGAGGAAGGAAGAGGGAGAGATAGAAACATCAATGATGAGAGAGAATCATTGATTGGCTGCCTCCTGCATGCCCCACACTGGGGATTGAGCCCACAACCCGGGAATATGGCTTGACCAGGAATCGAACTGTGACCTCCTGGCTCATTGGTCGATGCTCAACCACTGAGCTATCTCAGGTGGGCTTTCCCTGGTTCTGTAACAGTCTCTGGTAGCTACTAATCTCATTCTGCAGATAAGGAAATGGCAACCTGGGGAAGTTAAATGATGTGTCCAGGTTGTGGTTGTGGCAGGGAACTACTAGTGTTGGAGTGGGCAGTACCCATGAGTCAGGTAGGTGACTGAATAGGTAATCTATTGAGGCCCCCTCTTGGTTGTTGCTCTGGGCCAGGTACCCTGCCTGCATGGCTGCTGTCCTCCCCCAATCTCTGCATGCGCCACTCTTTACAACATCTTACTATTGATGCGCTGACAAGCCCCGAGCAAAACTGAAATATAGAATATAACATATCCGATTGTTCAGAGTCCATTCGTCTTTCAAAGCCCCAGTGCAATACCACCTTCTCCAGGGAGGCACCCAGGATTCCCCTGGCTAGCATTAGTCCCTCCTCTCCGGAGGCACAGCGCCTGGTTAGGTCTGCTAGCCATTCAGTCCAGCAGGTCTGTGCGCAGTCCTCAGCTCCGCACTTAGGACCCTGTGACTCCTTGAGAGCAGCGGCCTGTCCTCCGCACGGGGCACCAGAATGCCAGGGCTGGGTGCAGACAGGTGCTCTGTAGTGTTTGTGCCTTTTCTGGTCCAGCCTCCGGCCATCACGCAGTCTGGGACAGCGGTCTTCACGCTTTCCTGGGTCCCATCCATAGAGGTTCCGAAAGTCAGCATTGATCACCTAATATTTCCATTTTGGAAACACACCTTGAGAGAAATTGGTGGGAGATGTGAAAGGTAAAATCAATGTGGCTTCTCTTTCCCCGCCTCCCACCCCGGTTTCCCAGGGGGAATTCATGCTGGAGTTTGGGGCTGAGCTGATGCTTAGAGAAGGAGGCTGTTAGAAGCGGACCCAGAACTTACAGATCACCTAGATGGGGGTAGTCAACCTGGCTGCACGTCAGAGTCACTTGGGGAGCTTTAAAAATATTCACTGCCAGCCCCCCTGTCCCCTCCTCTCTCTTGGAGGAGGGGCCCAGATACAGGTGATTCTAAACAGACTCCAGATATGTCAGGTGTGCTGTCAGGATTGAGAACCCTTGAGCCCAACCCCCTCAGATGAATCTCAGATGGGACTGAGGCCTGCTCGCAGAGAAGCCAGCCTCGCCCTGTGCTTGGCTCCCACACGGGGGCCCCCAGTGCATGGGCCTGGCTGGCCCCACTTTCCAAGCAGTTGTTCCCCCAGCATTCCAGCCTCGGATGTAATTTCAGGACCTGCCTCCCAAAATAGACTATGAGCTTTGGAAGGCCCGACCCCGAGGGTACTTTTTTGGTTTTCCTGTCTCAAGGCTTCAGGGTAGAGGTGATTAATGAATCTTTGTCATTCCTTTGTTCCTGTACTAATTAATTAGTTAACTCAACTGCCTTGAATCCCTGGGCTGTAGAGGTACTTTTGACGAATGGTCTTCTCGAAGGAGCAGCTTAATTTCTTGTAACATTTAGTGATCTGTCCTTTCTTCTGCCCTGCCCATGTGCTGTCCTGGAATGTGCTTATGTCCCTCCATTCATGCATTTAGTTCATTGAACACATACTTATTGAGCACCTACTACAGCCTGGGTGGTGTTCCAGATGTTGGCGATACATCCAAGAACAAAACCCGAAGCTTAGACTTTTATTTCCTTGAAGTTTGGATCTCTTGTATCCCCACTTGGTGAATTTCTATTGGCTTCCGAGGACCCACAAGCCAGAAAACTGAATCATTACTGTCTCTTCTCTCTCCCTCATCCCTCCCCATGTCTCTCCAGCTAATCCCACTCCTTTCTCCCCCTCTTCTCCCTTCTATCTCCTGGGAGGTCTCTAGACTTTAGACAGGAGCCTGGGGGAATCTCCTAGAACTGCCTGGAGGTTGAGAGACAACTGAAGGGCAGACCTGACTCCCCTTGGTAGGGAAGGTGGGCTAAGGAGATACTGGATTCTCTGAACCTGGCTTTTTAAACATTAGAGGTGACTTTAAAGCATTGAAATTAGCCTTCTGCTTTCTTTTTGAGAACATAATGTGCACTCAGTGTATGAGAGGATATACTATAGAGGGGCATGAGGCAAGAGTAATAAATGGCCCCGAATCCTGGCACTTTGAATTAATTTTTAATAATTTGACATATATCCTCTAAGATTTCTTTCCCATAAAAAAAAGCCATTTTAGTTGTGAAATTTAAGACCCAAATAAAGACTTAGAATACAAATGTATGCTTTAATGCAGGGATTCTCACCTGGGGTGATTTCGTTCTTTAGGGGACGTTTGGCATTGTCTGGAGACATTGTGGGTTGTCATCACTGGGTGTGTGTGTGGAGGGGGGTGTGGTGGTACCCACAGGCGCGTGCTGCCACTGTTGGCAGCTAGTGGGTAGAGGCCAGGGATGCTGCTAAACATCCTGCAGTGCATAGCCCCCTCCCACAAGAAATATCCAGCCTCAATGTTTATGGTGCCCACCTTGAGAGACCCTGCTTTAATGGCTAAATTAGGAAGGGAATAACCCACATGTATCACCCAGGTCAAGGAATGGAGTCTTTAGGCCCCACCCTTCCACCAGAGACCTCCAGACCCCTTGCCTTTCTCTCTAAAGTAATAGCTTCTGCCAAAACCGGTTTGGCTCAGTGGATAGAGCGTCAGCCTGCGGACTGAAAGGTCCCAGGTTCGATTCCGGTCAAGGGCATGTACCTGGGTTGCGGGCACATCCCCGGTGGGGGATGTGCAGGAGGCGGCTGATCGATGTTTCTCTCTCATCAATGTTTCTGACTCTCTATCTCTCTCCCTTCCTCTCTGTAAAAAATCAATAAAATATATTTTAAAAAAATAAAAATAAAGTAATAGCTTCTCTCAAAGGTTTGTCAACTTACATTTTCACTCAGCAGTACAACAGGGGCATGTTTCTCTGTCAGTCAGTATTCTCCACACCTTTTAAAAATGCCTGCATAGTATTTTAATGTGTGGGTGTACCATAATTCAGTTATACAACTTCCTATTGATGAATATTTAGGTTATACCAAGTGTTTTATATTTATAGTTGATACTTAAATGATATGGTCACTGTTAGAATTATCCTGGTGTCTAAATCTTTGCCCACATATTTAATTATTTTGGGGGGATAAATACCAGAAGTGACATTGCTGTGTCAGAAGTTTACGTATTTAAGGCTTTGCTGCATTTCCCAAATTGCTCTCCTGAAAATCGGTACCAACTTTACCCTCCCATCAGCGGAGTATGGGGGCTTGTTTTCTTATACTAATCCTGCTAACATAAAGCATTATCATGCAAATCTCTTTAGTAATTTCTTCGGT